TGCACTACGAATTCGTAAGAGAACATGCACTGATCAACGTAGAAATGAATACGTAAGTACAAATTTATTAGAAAACTATGTGATTCAACAAAACAAGTGAGATAGTTTTCTTAATAACTAACCTGTTCTATGATTTCATTCACTAATTCAACCATTTCTAATGACAAAATCAATATTCTATCTAACGAATGAATAGTCAGCTTAAATAAATTCAATTTAAGAACTGGACGTGGAAGTTAACCACTAGTTAAGGATTCCCTCATGCATTATGTAGCATTTCAAATTGTGAGGTTCATTCTGTTGAGTACAAAAACAAAACAGTTTTCAGCTAGACTTTAACATGACGTGAAATCCATCAGAGATGAAGTTTTGTACTGAAGAATAATTTTACACTTGATAAACCTTCATCTTGTCAAATTTAATATGCACCATGTTTGTTTATTACATGTGAGAAACACGAGAGGTGATGTACAGCATAGAAAGTTTACTCGATACCCTATGAATACTTCAAATGAACACATACAATTCATGTCACTCAGACAATCAACATGTTTTGAACAATCAGTACTGTAAGAGAATTCCCATCAACTGATATGATAATATCACAACTACGTCAAATGGAATACTCCGTGGACTTTAACTAACTGTAGCGAAATGTGAACTCAATTTATCCTAGACGTTTCCGATGTCATGTGTTATATAAACGTGTTTCGTTTTAATCAATAATAACATATTTTTATGTTGTAAGCAGATCACAGAGAACCCATGAAATTCAAGTTCATTTGCTGTGACACTTCTCCTTTCTTCATTCAAGTGTTTACAAAAGAGAAAAGTTGTACGAAATAAAAGTAGCAATAAATTCAAATGGTACTGTTTACTTGAATCTTCCAATTGATGTTAAGGATTGCTATCGGTCACTCTCTTATTAGCAGGTGTGGATATTGTGCTTATTGTCTCACTGTTATGTTCAGTAACTAGCATTTTAAGTAGAGATGGATGGTGGCTAGCGGTGGAATCGAAACCACTTCATTCTATGTGGGACTCGTCAGCTGTATATATCTGCATCTCAGAGTTGATGTTCACTATTGAACTTGAACCCAGTACCGTTCTCTTTGAAAACCATCGCGATATTCATTTAGCTACTGAGTCCTGATGGCCACTTGCTTGTGTCGTTTTTACAAATACACCCAACATAAAATAAATGCTTATTATTTTTAAACTGAAATAGACGCAATGTTAGCTAGTTAATTCCGTTGACTATATACATATTTCATGTTAGATATTTGGATAGGAAAAACTCCTTTGAAGTTCAAATAACAAATAGAAAACTATTTGTCTTCCTATGATCAATGACAACTAATTGAAAAACATCGGATAGATTAGGTAGCGGATCGTAAAACATACTAATCGGTAGTAAGATGTCAAGTGTATTAGTAGTTATAAGAGTAAAAACATGGTTTTAGATGAACAAGCGTTTTAACAGTGGAGAGTAGACGAAAAATTAAAATCGCTTGACACAAACTGTAGGATGAAGATGCTACAGCTGAGGAACATTTGGAATTCAAAACAATTGTCAACCAACATCGAAATCCAGAATCTTCAATTCAAACGTCAATACTGTTTTGTCGTATGAAGCTGAATTTTCGAGAACTACTACAACCATCGTCAAATTGATACAGGTATCTATAAACAGTTGTCTATTCAAGATACACAATCTCCGTTGGTCCTATACAATAACGAACAACCTATTGTAACAGAGAACAAAGAAACTCCTATTTGAAGGGGTAGTTAAGAAGACACGTTGAAGACGGAAAGGACGTTTATTGTGAAAATCATGAAACTTCATCACAAGGCAATCCCTGACCTGGAATTCCGAAAGTGAGTGGAATAGAAACCAGTTCTGACCAGTGATCTTGCATTATCAGACTGTTTACACAGTGACTTTGATTAAGAATCCATTAGAATCATGATCTACATCTGGAACATGATGAATCACTTCACGGCATTGGATTATCAGATTATTATAACCCTCAGCCATATGTCTAAACATCACGAAACCATGATAAAACAAAACATTGAAACCGCTTATAACTATAAGCATCTATCATGTTCGCATATTTACAACTTTTATAAATGGTAATAAAATTCGTTAACTGTGTTCACAGATACAAAACACAAAGTCCGAAAACAACATAAAATATCAATATGAATTTCAGGTGGAATAGAAGTTGACAGTGAAGTGTTACTTGATTTATTAATGATCGAACACTTGAAAGTTTGTGAAAACCGAAAACAAAAATGAAAAATAGAGATATTGTGGACTTCGTTAAGTTTTTCCTTCGGTGAGATCAAAGACTTTGGTGAAGGTAAGACAAAAAGAAATAAGAATACTATGAACATTCATTCTTCACTTTTCTTTAGTTTGGAATGGGAAGCAAAGGAATTTCACTCTCGTAATATCGACTTCAAATTAAACCTTACAATACTGTATAACGGTTCAGTAAAATCCGTTAAAAACAAAACACAACTGTCATTTCAACTCATTCTAAGTATCCATCACAATAAGAATTTTCACAGTTATGATGTGTTCACGTATTAATCATGGTTGTATATACACACACTGATCTCATTGATATCTTCTTCAGGTCGAACTCTCATATATAATTATATACAAAGCTTGTTCTGGCTTCCAGACAAGCCAGTTTTTTCATCCTTCTTAGGTCACATACTGACATTGCTAGATATTCATTCATCAAAATTGACTGTGTTTAGATGAGCAAATGTGCGTGTATTGCTTACTGTACTCATCAAATGTCTGCAGCTTATTTTTGTCTGGCTATAAATATAGATCAACGCATGAATAAACTGAGTTCGCTCACACGGCTTTTTTGCTGCGTGTCATTTTGCTTGCGTTTCTTCTCTTCGGTTCGTTTCTCTGCTCGTTTGTGTGGACCAGCAATTGTGTGAAATATACGTATTCGAAATTCGTTCTCGTATTTGGCTTGGATTATTCCGTTTCTCACTAAAACGAATTAAGTCAGTAATTATATACGAGTACTAGCGAAATGTCTATTTCAATAGCCATCATAAACGATCTAACTGGAGTCAGATAAAGAGGTGCTAGGAACTAGGTGTACTTCAGTTCACTTATTTTGAGTTCCACTTGTTCTTTGATTGTACGAATGCGATTCCTCTTCATCACATATGCATCAAATCCTTTACGTTTATAGATGGTGCTGTCGACCCGTTTTGTGAATATTTCCACCTCTTACAGCATTGCTCCATCAAGTGTGGTTGCGTTAGTGTTTTCCTCGTTGTATTTCGGGATATTACTTTTTCCTTTGCGTATATTGAGAGCAAATGGTGCAGAGACTGCTGCTACACTAGCCGTCTTCATTTGCACTTACTCGTGTGCATGGGATAGAACAGTTAGGTCATCTGCGAAGCCAAAAGCTCTCCGGTGATTCAGAGTTGTACATTGTATTCCGTGTTTCTTCTCACATGTCAAGGTCTCCATAATTCAGTTGACAACTAGGAGAAAGGGGAGAGGAGAGAGTAATCACTCTTGTCTGGTAGGTCTATTAACACTTGTAGACTACAGTCATACTACAATTAATGAAATGTTTCTCTGAGAAAAAAGAACATGTTTTCGTTTTAATGAATTTCGTTATCTTAAGGATTTGGAACCCATTTATTCAGTCAGGAGTTCCGACCGCTGTCCTGTCTAATTAGGTGGATAGTAGGATTATCGCTCACACAACCAGGTTTGCTTCAATATAAATGTACGAACCTACATTCAGTAAAGAAAACGAAACTAAAATTCATCACACAATTCAAGATAGTTTGGTATTCGTTTGACGTTCTCTGTAACCGTGAATAAGAGAACTTCCGCGTTCAAAGTTTTCTAGATAGATTTGTATCGTTCAAGAATAACGTCATGAGATGAAATATATAATATGTATTTATTGAGCTTAGCCGCCAAAACAATGCATATATTCGCCGAGTAGGCGGTCATTCTTAACAAAGCAAGGGTCAGGTACATCACATAATTTGTTGAATCCTAACACTAGAAAGTTATTGTCTTGAATACCTATAACATTCACTGTATGTAAAGGACGACTTCGAATCCAATCTAAGTAAAGGAATCTGAAACGACTGACTGTTGTGAGAGGATAAATTGTCATTTACATTTTCACTAATCACTTACAAATTTTGTATTCTGCTTAACAGGATCTTGGATTTCCTCGGTAGTTATTTATACTGCTACAACAGATAACGTCATTTCTGAACGGGCATTATTCATCGATACAATAGCTGTTTAAGTGTTACATTCACAAATAGTAACACTCTCTTTTTCACTGTAGACTCATATGGCGGTATAGTACATTGGTTTATTGAACAAATAGATGAAGCCAGAGTTCAATGTTCACAAAGGGATGAAATCGGTCATTAATCAATTTCGCCAATAAGATGAATTACATTTTATGATATATCTGAAAACATCACAATTTGCATAATTATGGGTATATCAACTCAATTTTAGTCAAGAGAAAAGACTTTGTATTGCTTCACGATTGATTATTCATAATTACGATCAAATAACTTGTGATGCTTCAGATCAATGGAATAGATGCTGTGAAACAAAGCAGAACAAAGTTTAATGGTCATCAACAATTCAGATATTTCCTTGAACATTTGTTAATTTGATCAGTCATCTACAAAACAAGACCAGGCACACTCGTTAATCAAACTTTTCAAAGATGTTGAAGAAACACTGAGTATTTCTTCGTTCGGTTTCGCATTCTTTAATCACTATGATACTGAATAAACCTAGATGTTGTTGTGGAGTCTGTCAGTTTTAAGGAACATCGAATCTAGGATATATATCCAATTCCAGATTTTATATGACTAACCACCTCTCAGTTTTAGTAGTATAAAATGTCAACTTGAAATTAACTAGTTTCCTTATCCTCTCCTACTTTCATTTCCCGAAAACACAGGAACAAGCAGGAATATGTATCAAGTATCCTGGTGAGTCAGAAACTCGTTCGACATTCACAAAACCAAGTCATTGTGTATCAGAAGTTTTAACAAATCATGGTCAACTAAGTGTATGTAAACCAGGCTATCAAATTAATCCACATTCAGAAATTAAACTAGATGGATATGGTCCTATCAAACAGTATGAATTGAATAAAATGGAACAATCAGAGTATGCACAAACATATACTTGGCCAGATGGTAAAAAGATACATACAAGTCCATGGAACAGATTACGAGAAGCTAATCATTTGTATGGTGTTAAATAATTCTGATAATTCGGTTGCCTTCATAAAACTAAGCATTGTAACATTTTATATTAGTTTATTTAGTTGAAAAAATCATTCAATAAATGAATCTGTTAAAAGTTAACAAGCCTTTTCTTTTAAATAAAAATAAGCAAACGCCAAAGACGATTAGTCATTTAAGACAATTGGGTTCTAATAATACAAAGATGAGATCGACATCTATAAGTGAGTGATGGACAAGAATATAATTTATGGACGAACCAATCAGGTCTAAGATAACAGGTGTCGGATTTGGGTGCAAAAATCATTCATCCATTTGGCTTAATAGAGTTTTCGGATTATAGTTTATATCAGTTCGTGATGAAAACCTAAAGTTTACTTCCAGCTATTACTCCAAACTATTGATACATTCGACGAATACAACCTGTTATGATGGGCTGTAATGTTACAATCAGATTGATGCTCTCATTATGATTTTTATTCAACATTAATTCCGTTTAACTCAATCTGATGATAACGGAGTATAGCATTTGTTTCGTTTTCACCTTTGAGATTGTATTCTGAGTAACATACAATATTCTTGTATGAATTATTTTCCATACCTGTGATTTATTCTGATTATTGTTCAGAAATGGGTGTACAAACCAATATATAAATGAGTGTATTTCCGATTAGTCTTGTCGGGATCGCTCGTGCTTCTGGCTAATATCAGAATATATTTCCCCGTTGGAACGTGGACTCCACTCTTTAGCTAGCAGAGCCGGGACGCATCAGAATAGCCAGCTTATTGGTCTTTGGTCAGAGAGTCTTTTTTCTGTTCGCAGACTAGGTGAACTCGTAATCGCAAATTTGGCGACGACGTTGGCACAAACGTGGATCCTTCAAAGGTGGAATTATTGCTCGAGCAGTAGCTGAAACGTATACAAATCTTAGCAGATGCACAACGTACGCCTAACTTTCAACCAAGCGCTTCTAATCCTACTTTTACTGCACCATCAGTTGATGGTATCGCGAACAGTATTTCTGAGTAGCATTACGATCCTGAATCCAAAATCTCTTTTAATATATGGTTTTGACGTTATGAAGACTTATTGAAATTTGATTTTGCTAATCAGGATGGCGCTTGAAAAGTCCACTTGCTGCTTCGGAAACTGCGTCCTAGTGAACTAGATAGATATTGTAACTCTATTCTGCCGTTAAACAGACTTTACCGCTCATTCTCGGATACCGTCTAGTACAACTTTTACTAATCCCATTTACTATCGGCTTTTATGTTAAACGGTTGAATTATTAACAGTATAAATAAATATATATATATATATTTGTAGGTTAGTTTATCAAAATTCATACAGCTTTCATTAACATCAACACTTCTATATCCCAAAGGAAGGTTTGGGATCGTTTTCAAACTACGCATAGTCTCCGGTTGACATGTCACTATGCACATAGAGTCTCAGAGAGATGTCCACCAAAATAGCGTCAATATAAACAAAGACCACCATCTAAATAGATGGACTGATTTATGAACCCAATCTGACAGTAAGTTGATAATGAAAGCAAACCGTTTTAGAATGAACAATTTTAAAGACAATCACCTGTTGTAAAACAGATCAAACTAAATAATGCTTACGTGAGATTACAAACAAAATTATAGTAATAAGACATTGTCATAAATTCGTACTGTTCTCAGAAATAATTATCTAAGCAAAAGGATTCCCAACAGTTAAACTAATCCTTCTCTTGGACTGCCAAAACTGTGTCACTAAACAGCTAAAAATAGAAAGTTAATCTGGAACGTGATATGACTTGGCTACGCAATTATGCATAATGACAACGGAGTGTGAGGTTCCTAGAATCCCTTGGGCCATGAGTGCTAATATAAATGACTGAGGAAACAAGAATCAGTACTGTTTGGATTGCGCATACAATCACCATCAAAAGATGACTTATAACGCATGGAAGGCAGCTGATACATGACAACTAAACCTATTACCAGGATTGTTTTCTTACATTAGATGAATACTTCTAAATGAAGGATTGAATAAGCGAACATCTTAAAAAAATCAGTCAATAAAAAAGAGGGATCGGACTCGATCGAGGTTGGAAATATACTGAAATGTTTTAGTGGAGTTTCTTGAGGTATAACACGTCACATAGCTGACACACGGTTGAGGAAATCAGCACAGAGCTTTGCTAGTTCAGCACTCTGGAGTCTTGTAGACCAACACGTCTGGTAGTGTAAAAAACACTTCTAAATAAAGCTCTTAGACGCATAAAAGTTCGTATCATACTGACACCAAAGCAGTATGGCTACACTGTTGCCAGCTTTTGCATGGAAAACTCTACCAAGTGAAAAACCTGCTCAGTGAGACAGGTGGTTTCCGTAGGGTGTAACAGTCTGAACATTTATCCTAATAGTCTAATCCTCGCACTATACTTGAACATCCATGACAATGAATTTAAACGCATGACCATATAGAAGACCTTGAAGGAAAAAAACTAGACTCGGAGATAAAGACAACATATGTCTATGTGGTAGAATCCAGATGACATCAACTCATGGAACTCGATAAGGACGTAGAATCTTATCAAATCCGAATTCAAACTATGTGAAGATGAATTTGATACTCATTGGAAATCAGCGAGTAGCCTCTTTTATTCGTACAATTCTAGGTTGACTGCCCTTCCTACTTAATTTCAATGGAACATCGATACCGTTTGGATTACTAGGAGACTTTTGAAAGATGATGTTAATTTTCGGAGAGTTACAATTGGTGATGTTCGTTTGGATCGACGAATATACAAGTGGTTTAGAACGTCCATGACTAGATACAAATTTCACTGTGACGTGATCTACCATGGCAATGATAATTGTCTTAGTAGTTGATATGAGAAACTACTGCTTTAGATACCGAAAAGAAGTGATATAAGTGTGGGTGGAAGTCGTGACTTGAAATACACTCAGTGACCAATTCATCGGAGATCAATACATTTTAGACGCAATACCGTGATCACTTAACAAGGTTTTTAAACGTCCTCAACTTTTGCCTGAAAAATTGGGCGTGCCTGTCGAATATTTTATTGTATACTTCTGAAATTCTATGTACTATTTCTCGTCACGTGATAAGAATTGTCAAGAATTTTAACCACTTTGGATAGGATTAACTTGATCAACGATGTTAGACAACCATGGGAAAATTAGAGTGAATTGTAGAGACGAATGTAAATGCATCTCCAAATCTATTTGGCCTCGTTTAGTGCTCCGTCTCTCGTATATAGACCAGCCTTTCTACTCGACCCGACATTCTAGTGGGTAAAGAGCACATTGAGAAAACTAGTGCAATATTATTCTAAATTGCATATCAGTAAGATAGCTGGCTGCAGACTTCTAAATTAAGAAGATAAACCATGGAGTAATAGTTTGGACGTTGAAAACAATGCACTTTGGAGAGTTAACTTATTTTTGAAACGCACGAGATGTATTTCACTGTGATGTCGTTAACTACTTTCCGTTTCTTTTTACTACCCACAGGTTTGAGGTAGCGTCTCAAGTAATCAGCTTTATTGTCCTTCGAAGGGTTGTTTGTAGTCATTTGGAGTTTTGGGAATCATTGGCCTTGAGGTGCAAAAGCATTCCGAGATTTTCAAAAAGGACAGTGCTATTTTTCCTCTGAGTATATTTCATATTATTGATGTTACGCACCAAAATTACAGTTTTTCTTTTAATTTAATTTAATTCAGTTAAAGTAATCCCCAAGAGTACCTCCTTTTATCCAGAGAAGTTTATCATGTCTACTCTAGGAGGACGGATTTAAGTAACTAAGCGCAATGGTATTTATTATTCTTGGTTGAGTATATCATTGGGTGTTGTTTGTATCCATAGGTGTTAAGGTCTTTCGTAGCTACAAAAGTTGACTTTTTTCATTGTCGTTAAGCACATTGTTTTATATATAAACATAAAACAAATCCATGACACAATTGAAACCCCGTTGTGGCAGGCCGGCATACTACTCCCCTGTCAATGATGAGATGTTATGTGATATCTGCCATAGTGGTATCACACTGTGTCCAACAGACTCACACCGGCCGCACATAAACGGTGCTACAGGCCATTATTATATTGACTAATACTTGGTGAGTCAAGCGGACAAAACGTTCAAGCACTGAAGTCCTTTGACAAGAGACCAAACGCTCATGTAAAACTAGCTGTAACTTCACAATAACATGCGGGGGGAGATCTGGTTGTTCTAACTGTTCGTCACCTGTGATATTGAAAAGTCGCACTACAAAATTAGTATCTAATTTTTTGAAGCTTATTGAATGTAGAGGAATTTCTAAAATTGCACTTATCGTAGATGTGATATAATGTGTGTCAGATATTTAATTCAAAGAGGCACTATGTCACAGAGTCTGAAGGCTTCGAGTAACCTTGGTAAAGATAACGCCTTAAATATCTTGTTTTCAATCACTTGGTTGTAGTACCCTGTTGATAAGTCAGTTTTCACCTGTAGGGACAAGATAATTCCAACTACAGATAATAACCGATTCGTTCAACTAGTTTAGCGTTACTTACTTAGGCCTGTTCTCCCAGTTGAGGAAGAAACGCCACACACCAGCGCTCCCCATCCAATGCTCTCGTGAGCAGCTATTCCCAGCTGCTATTCATTCTTTTCTTGTCTGCTTCCAATCAACCGAGCCGTGTGTTCTTCGGCCTTCCACTTTTCTGTTAACCTTTTGGATTCCAAATTAGCGCTTGCCTTTTCATGCAATTTGGTGGTTTCCACAATGTTTGTCCTAACCATTTCTATCGTCTCTTACCAATTTCTCCCTCGTCTGGAAGCCGGTTTTTCCTAACTCACACAGTAATCTGGCATTTGCGGAATGACATCATGCTTATTGTTCTTGCGCTTTATTCTCCTGACTGTGTTGTAAACTGTCACTAGCTGATTATTTACTATAAATCTGTCATGCAATTCCATCACTTCAAATCTTCTTACACGACGTTGACAGGATGTTATGTCTGGAGTGATTTTCGTGCTGTTTTATGCAATTATTCAGCTAATATCAGTAATATATCGGTCGCTATTTTTGTATGTGTAAGACAAATTATTAGACTCCTTGGTTTTCGAAATTTTGGATCTTGGCTAAACATGACGTCACGTATTGTTTGCATGGTCACAGCACACTATACAACTTAAAGTTACTCGTTAGTTTTCCCACATATTTCTCCTGATAAGACAATTTCACATTAGTATTTCCGACTAAATAAACTTCTCTATGAAAATATGCAGTACTACGAGGTTTCTACACATTTTCTTCATACGACAGCTTGATGAAAACAATCAAGCACTATTATATCACGTGGGTGATCAAACAGTAACATCTCTAATACATAGATCATGTGCAAGCCCATTAATAACAATAAATTGGACCGAACTCAATGAGTTCAAAATTGTTTGTCTACTTGTGTTCTGAGAAATTTCGAAATCCGAACATCATGTTCACCATGATTCAGTAAATTTCGACTTACAGTCTGTTTGAGTAGACAGTATATTTTCATATTTATTCATCGACATACAATATTTTTGTTTAGCTATCATTCCTTTATAATTGCAGTGCACATATTTCTTGAGTATAAGTGATTTTCGTTGGTACATGTGAACTGAAGTTTCACACAGATGACACTCAGATTTCCTCAACTAGGATTTCATCCAATTCATGTTTAATTTCAAACGCTATTCATGCGAATTTATGAAATCACACTTACCATAAATAAACATGAGGAATCAAGTCAAATGGATGTGCATGAAAAAGACAGATTTTCGCAAATCTTTCAAAAGCTGCTACCAGACTAAGTAACTAGCACAAACTTGATACAAGAACAACATGATTAAGACGTTGGTGAATCAGTTTATTGAATAAAACAATAAATTTTCAGAATTCCGCTCTCCAACGACACATAGAATAATGTTTGGAGGTAATTTTAGAAAACATCCACTTTAAACACAGTTTGTTTCAATATCGAGTACATGTTGAAAGGTGAGTAATCTGTCTAATATTTTTTTCGGTAGGATTTGTTTCATGTGTATCAAGTCAATTGTTTTTAGACTCTTCCCATAAATCTGAGTTCTGCATGTACAAGTTCTAGTTCATCATGGAAATTGGATGTGATTGCTGAGTTTCTTTAGCTTATTTGTTAATAGTACCGATAATCACGTTTATTGTGAAGGCAATAAATCTTAGTCAAGCATAAAATTTTACTTTATTCAGAGTATCCTGCATACAAATACGATTTTATAACTACTATCACACCTAACATTAAGAAATATGAAGAACAAAATCAAATGGATGTACTGGAACGAGAGTGAATTTCATAAATGACAACAACAACTGTGATTGAACTGAATAGGAGGCATGAAGTTGAATGAGAAAACAAACAAACGAACGTCTATCCACGAAAATGATTTT